AAGTAAAAATTATTTAAATAGCATTATCAACCTGAAAGTAGCGGTTCATCACTGTAAATTTTCTCAATTAATGGATATTAAAGGAATACATTTGTCAGGTAGGAGTCTAACAGTCTATAAATTTTTTTAACGATAAAAAGAGTTGTATACACTGAGAAGGGTTGGGATCTGTGGTATACGGTTCCTGTGGAGGAGAATGAGATAAAACTAGAAAATAAGCTAAAGTATGCAGGGTGTTTGGTACCGAAAGGACTTAATTTCTTAGGCAAAGAGAATTACTCGTGATGGTGATGTTTTCACAGATGCAGTGCATGTATGTAGAAGCTATTGTGACGAATAAAGTAAAATTCTGGACCACTCATCTGTCCATCAAGGTGGAACGTTAGGAAGACTACCCATGTAAGGATGAACTGGAGAAGACTGAGTATGGAAACAAGGAGACCAGGTATGAAGTGACTAGAATCTAAATCAGGATGACTGCGGTGAGAATGAAAAAAATGGGATGAATGCTAGACCCACTCCCAGGAAGAATGGGCAGAGGTATGAAAATTTAATGGTGAATAAGTTTGTGCATATGGTGCATTTGTATGCATATTTATGTGATGTTTACGGGTACATGTTTGCATTAGGGTGTTTGTACAATATCTAGTTCATTTAAGATTCCAGAATACGTATTATTTTAGCACCATTTGACATTTTTTAAATATTGCTGATTAATTTTCCATGTCTCAACACAATTTTTTTCTAAAGGAAATATCCAGAATCACTCATTTCAATTAGTTTAGTTTTTGGCATACAAATATTTATTGGTTGGTAAGCATCAACATTTTAACTATTCCCAAATTGGGTCAACTTAGGATACAGATACAGAATTTCTATTTTGTGTTTGTGTTCCCTCTTTAAGAGGAAAATTAGTGGAGCAAAAAAGATAAAAGTAGTAGTGGTAGTTGGAAGAAACTGACGTTTAAGTTTGATGAAGAAATTCTAAATAGATACCTAGAGAGGCTAAATGACTTCAAGTCCCCAAGGTAGGGCAAATTGCATCCACCGATCCTAAAAGAATCTGAAAACTAGATCACTGAACAACTCTCAATGGTCTTTGAGGAGTCATAGAGAACTAGGAGTGCCAGAGGATTGAAGTGCTAAAGGCAGGGGGAGGTTAATTCTCGAAAATCCATAGCAAGTAGCTTAATATTGCCAAAACCAGTAATAATACTTCACATCGATATACTTTCATTTAATTTTGCTCAGATATAGAAACAGAGAGTATCCAGACTGCAGCTAGACAGTTGTCAAGGTCCTTTATGGTATCCTTTGGAAAAGCCAGAGGAATATGTGTGCTAGTTATTAGAACACTATGGTAGCTAATTTATTATTGAAGGCTTATACTAAACAGGTGCTTATAAACAACTTAAATCAGTTTTTAAACTTTTTGACTACAACTTGCAGTAAGAAATACATATTACGTCATTACCTAGTAAGCCTACATATGTATTTTTATGTATACATGCGTATAATTAAAACAGATTTTATAAAACAGTACTTACCCTTACAAAATATATTTAAAAATTTCTCATTCTGTGTGTTTCTATTCATTTCATTAAAAAACCCCTGCTGGTTGCAACCCACTAAATCAATTTCATGACTCCCTAATGGGTTGGGACCCACAGTTTGAAGAATGTGAATTGATTCAAGCAGAGTGATACTGGTGACTACTGAGCTGTTTCCATCCTGTTCAATCAAACATTTGAATGGAAGTATAGAAGGAATGTTCCCAAATTTGCACATAGGCTAATAAGACAATAAATTATTTGCATGATATAATCAGGATTAAGAAATTCCTAGCAGATGAAATTTAAATGGAAAATTACATAAAAAATTTGAATAAAATATTTTTTTCTCTGTTTTGAGACAGAGTCTCGCTCTCTTGCCCAGGCTGGAGTGCAGTGGAGTGATCTCTGCTCACTGCAACCTCTGCCTCACGTGTTCAAGTGATCCTCCTGCCTTAGCCTCTTGAGTAGCTGGAATTACAGGTGGCCACCACCATGCCTGGCTGGTTTTTGTATTTTTAGTAGAGACGGGGTTTCCCCATGTTGGCCAGGCTGATCTTGAACGACTGACCTCAAGTGATTCACCTGCCTTGGCCTCCCAAAGTGTTGGGATTACAAGCGTGGACCACCATGCCTGGCCTTCAAATAAAATTTAAATTTAAATTGATATGTACAATTTTGTACTTTATATCTCAAAATCTACATGTAAAGCTACAAATTGTAGATATGCTGCTGCTAAAAAAAATTAACAACAAAAGAAAAAGCCTGTTTTTCAGGTTGATAATTATTTCATGCAGCTATTGTGGTTAATAAAGTAAAACTCTTTATTAATCCTAATTAATCCTTGATGGTCTAATCTGTCCATCAAGATGGAACTTTACGAAGATTACCCACGTAAGGATGGACTGGAGAAGAGTGAGTGTGGAAAAGAGGAGACAGAGGTATGAAGTGGCTAGGATCTGAATCAGGGTGGCTGCAGTGAGGATGAAAAAAATGGGACGAATGCTAGAACTATTGCCAGGAAGAATGGGCAGATCTATAACTAATTTAATGGTGATAATAATTTCAATATGAGAGGAGAATGGAACCAAAATTATTTGAGAACCCACCACGTGCCAAATGTGAATCATTACATTACATGAATCATCAGTGTCATGTTAAGAAAAAAATCCAAAACCAAAGCAAACCAAACAGATCTAATTTGATTTGGGGCAACATTAACAGGAGCTATATTGCTAAAGGTTGAGGGTGGGGTAAGAATTTCCCTCTGTTTTATACAGGTCCAAACCCACACCGAATTTGGAATATTCTGTTCAGATAAAGTTTAGAGAAAAGCAAGAAATCTGTTATTTAAAGAACAGGTGAAGGAAGTGGGAATATTTAGTGTGGAGAACTGCTGTTTCCATCCATTCATTTTTGAACACATTTATTCAATGTAAATTACAAGTCAGGCAAGGTAGATGAAAAAAAAATAATGACACAAAATAACTGTGGGTCTTTTCCAACAGTCAGTGAAGGGAAACACTATTGATTGACACTTGCTACTACCTTAAGTACCTTAAATGTATTAGCTCCTTTAATCCTATGAAGTAGTATTATTATCCTTATTTTGGGTTAAGTAAACTGAAGCTTTGAAGCTAAAGTCATTTTCCCAACACCATACTGTAAATTTAAGTAAATATAAGTGGCTGGTGGAACTAGAATCCAAATCCAGGTTCCATTGAATCTAGGGCATGACTTCTCTACCTCTCTGCAATATTGCTTCTTGAAACTCAGATTCACAGGTTTCTTATCTTTGAATGGTTGTCCCTGGGAAGTAGGGGTACACAACAATGCATACAAAATTAATATTCACCACATAAAATGTATTTTTAATCTGGAGATTTAAAAATATACAGATTAGGTATCTTCTATTATTATGTAGCTTTTAATTCAAAATATTGTTAATGTAAATGCAAAGTTATTTGTACACTTTCCAGGAAAAGGTTTTGTAGGCCAAAAGGAAACAGACCTGCTGACTTTTCTAAACTTTACATTTTTGGGATGGTATGGAAGACATATAACTGTGCCATTATGCAGACTTATATGTGGTTATAATTGGTATTACATGTGTTTATAGGTTACACAATACACATGCCTGTATACTAAGGATACAAAGACACATTGACTATATGCTAGCTGCTCAGCTGAAATTATTTTATGGAATTCTCACTTTCCTATGGGACACGTATTATTATCCCTACTGAAGGAATGAGGAGATGAAACTCAAATAGCTTGAGTAGATTGCAAAGGTAGTAAGTTGTGAGTGTGACTCAAAGAATCATGCACTTTCCACAGTATCATAGGGCCTGGGAGGAGCTGATTGTCCACTGGAGAAAACTTTTTAATTGGTAAGCTCTTCTAAATATCTCTGAAATTGAACTAAGTACGCAAAAGAAGTGGAGTTTTCCTACTTAGAAATGGTGATATTATCTTTACCCACTCACTATCTTCACTAAAGAAAAATGAGCAGAAAAATATAACCAAGTGCACACACATACTGCTTAAGAAAAAACACAAGAAAAATTAAAATGGAAATGTTAAAAATGATGTTAAGCTATTCATTCAGAAAGGAAATAGGAAGTTCAAGTTGTCACTGTCTCTCAAAGTACTCATGCAAGAAATCTAAAAATAGCAAAAGGTAGAACCTGCTGCCATATAGATATACGCACAGTGGGTAAAAAAACTTAGTATGACAACCTTTCAATCTAGATTTATGTATTTTAAAAAGATATCATTTTAAATTTGCAAATGAAACAGTACTCTTAAAAGCAGATGATACTCACCTGGGACAGACAAAAATGTAGTAGAAGGATATAAATGTTACAGGATTTTTCAATTATATAGTATATCTCAAGTCATACTATTATGACTTGTATGTTTTGTAAATTTCCCATACAGTTTCAAGCATTCTAGCATTTTATAATTCAATTGCTATTTAATTTAAATGGACATGTTAGTTACCACTGCTTTCAGAAGTGTTTGCTTAACTACTTTAATAATTCAATCACTTTGGTGCAAGTTTAAACAAATAAACAGACATGCAACCAAGAATTCATCCTAAGCCCTGGTTTTGAGGAACTCTTTTTATAACCTGTGGTACTTAGAATTTTACCATGTTCCCATATCCTGGGAGTTAACTTGACTGGCAAGTCCAATTAAATATTAATAATAATAAAACTGATAATGGTGGATTTGTATATTGATCTTTTTCATTTGAGATGACAATTAAAACGATCTGAATATACCTCGAGATACCTAATATTTCTGGTGGCTTTCAATAATCTTTATTGAAAAGGGCAGCCCTCATGAAATATTAAAGAAAACTATATCCTTCCTTTCAAGGAATAGTCATGCCTATTTAGTTTTAATTCAATACAAGCAGTATGATTACTGGGTACATTTTAATTTTTTAAAATTAAAGGTTTATTTCTTATCTCTTGTGTCTGTGCAGACATAGATACGTACTTTTCTCACAGATCAAGGCTGGCAGTGAGAATCACCCATGTTTTCAGATAATTTCGAAAGTCCTCTGAATTGTACGTGCCTATGAAAAAAGGAAACATCAATAATTGGCATCATACCTGAGGATCGTCAGGGATTTTGAAAAGTGTGGGATTTGTCGTTCCCACCAAACTACCCCAGTGTCACACACTGCAGCCTTTTTAGGCTGGGAGGCGAGTTCAAGAGCTGTTTGTTGTTCCGAGCTTGATCCAGAGAGGATCACTGTTTGACAAGTTCTATTTTAAGTAGTGCCTCAGTGTGCAGGTGTCAGCCTCTTTCATGGCTGTAGAAGCACCATTACGCTCCATCTGTATTCTTCCCCCGACAATGCAGGATCGCCCCCTCCCCCCGCCCGCCTCCACCCCGTGCGTTTGTTTCTGCTTTGCCAGCCACTTTTTCTTCGGGAAATTCTAGGGAGGGCAGGCGGACAGGACTGCAAGAAAGGGCGAAGAGGGGCCGAAAGAGGTCGTCTGCCACTCCCCTACCTTACAAGGCACGTGGCACTCGCAGTAGCAGCAGCTGGATGCAATAACGGAGATTAGGAACCTCCTCCCAGCAAGAGGATATTGAGAGAAGGAGGAGGTGGCAGTGAAGGCAAGACACGCACACTGTGTCCTTCCCCACAGGGAAAATCCACCCTCAATGGAAAAACCACAAGGAAGCCACTACCCGCCCCGCCACTCCCAGCTTGCCCCAGTGTCTGGCAGCAGTCCCCATGCACCTGCTCACCTGTCTATCCGTTCAGGGTGGTTGGGGGAGGGACAAGGGGTGTCGGGGTGGGTGGGTGGGAAGAGAAGGAGGGCAGGGCAAAAGAGGGGGTGCACCGAGGGCTCCGCCCCCACGGAGGCTGTGCGCAGGCGCAGTGGCCGCTACCGCAGGCAGGGGGCGGCAACATGGCGGAGTGAGCGGCGGCGTCGGGGCTTCACAACAACAGTGGCGCCCGTAGCAGCGGCGGCAGCAGCGTCAATTACATCGGCCACAGCCTGAGCTTCAGCACCGGCCAGCGTCGTGGCCAGCTGCTCGCATTCTAGGGCTTCTCGGAGCGGCGGCAGCATCTCCGCGGGGGGCGGGCCGGGCCGGACGGACCGGGAGAGGGAGAGAGCAGAGGCAGCGGCGGCGGCAGCGGCAGCGGCACACCTGCTGGGCGGGCACGGCCGCTTGCCCGGCAGCGGTTAGCGGTACCGCCACCGCCGAGAATAAGCCTGCGGATCCCCCGCCGCCTCCGCGGGGGAGAGCGCCGGAGCGGGCCGGGCTGAGACGCAGGCGGGGAGCGGGCCCGGCGCCGCGGCGCTGGTGGATGCTGGGGCTCCGAGGCGACGGCCGGGGGGCGGGGGCCGAGGCAGGTATAACGGTACCGGCGGCGGCAGCGCCGCTGCTCTTCCCTTCTCCTCAGGAGGGGGGCCAATGGCGAGCGAGAAGCCGGGCCCGGGCCCGGGGCTCGAGCCTCAGCCCGTGGGGCTCATTGCCGTCGGGGCCGCTGGCGGAGGCGGCGGGGGCAGCGGCGGTGGCGGCACCGGGGGCAGCGGGATGGGGGAGCTAAGGGGGGCGTCCGGCTCCGGCTCGGTGATGCTCCCCGCGGGGATGATTAACCCTTCGGTGCCGATCCGCAACATCCGGATGAAATTCGCAGTGTTGATTGGACTCATACAGGTCGGAGAGGTCAGCAACAGGGACATCGTGGAGACGGTGCTCAACCTGGTAAGGAAAAGGCGTGCTCTCCATCTGCTTCCCCAGTCCCCACATCCACCGTCCCTAGCGCCTTTGGCTCCCACCCTCCACCCCCAGGGTCACACGCGCCGCGCGTCCCTGGGAGCACAGAGCGTTCAGCCGGTATTGCCCAGCGGGTGACCTGCCTGCGCGCTGCCGGAACCACGCCACCTCCCTCCTCTCCTCTTTCTGGTCCTCTCCTGCCACCTGAGCGCAGTGCCCAACTTAACACCGCTTCTTATCACTTTTTAGGACCACGAGTAAACCAGTCCCCGCGGTGAAGGTTTTGGGTCGACTTTAGAGTTTAGTTAGGAGGTGAGGAGGCCTCCTGTTCTCTGGGGTTCTTTTTCTCACACTCTTAATTGTCCATGGTGTCGCTCTCCGAGGATGACAGCCTTGCCCCTGGAGCCTAAATTCCCCCGTGCTGCTGAGATGTGAGAAGCACATTAGCTTCCGACTTGAGCAGCTGGGGTGTGATGTTTTCGAGGGAGACAGAAAATGATGCAGTTTTGCATCTGTCTTTAAATATTCCAAGGCCATGATGGAGAGTGTTGTGTCTATCCATCCCCCTCCATCTCTGAAGCAGCCGTCCCTTCTTTGTAATGTTGCCCTGAATATACTGATTTCTTAGTCATTTTTTGTGCACACAAGGTGTGTGAGGACACCAGATCATACAGGTTCATTTCTGTGGTTACCTTCAGTAGCGTGGCATGTGGGTAAAGACTAAAGGAAAGGTTTGAAACGCAGCCCTAGGTTTTGGTTTCTTTCATGATAAGAAAGAGTTACTGCAGAAGTGTGTATGACTTAATGTTTTGCGCTATCTACAGAGAGGCTCAGAAGCGTTTAAGATGTCAGGGAAAGAAATGGAAAGAAATAAGGAGATGAGAATCATAAATCGAGGATAATTAACAGTAGTTCATATTTAGTGCTTTGTAAATGGAGTTTTGTTTTTTTTTGTTTTTTTTTTCCCCCTGCAGCCAAGCTTTTAAAACAGTTTTCTCTGCAATATCTAGTCATTGACATACTGAAAGGTTGGGCTTTGGGAGGCAAGACATAAATCGAGAGCAATCAGTTGAGTATTGTATTTGGTGTGGAGTCACAGGAACATAACAGTATGCTTACAGGGGTGCTTTGTACACCCATGCAGTCATTTTTCAGCTAAGCAATTATTTTTACTTTATTGGAAAACTGAGAGAAAACCGCAGCTACACCACTGGTGTCCTGAGACATGCATTAGATAATGTCTACGGTTTATGAACCTCCTAAATGCCCAGAAAAGTTGAAGCTGTTTTTTTCCTTTTACTAGTGTGTCGGGTCAAAGGAGATATCTGTCTTCGTTATATTCATTGTTGTTTAAAACAAAACACCTGTTTTTACTTCTGTGTGCCTTTCAAATAAATCATCATGAAAAGTCAGTGTAAGTTTGAGGGAATGTCACTAAGTTGGTGTAACCAAGTTCTTTTCAGAGCACTACTGGAAATACGGTTTTCTTGAGTTTTAATTTTAACTAGTTGCAAATAAGAGGTCAGTACTTGCCATTTCTTTTTAAAAGAAGATAAATGAAATCTCGAACTGTTAGTATGTTAGCAGGTAACTGTATTTCTGTAATTCAAAGGAACACATTTTTAGTTCCACTTTTGATCTAACCAATATCTTTTTTATGTTAGATTATATTAGGCTATTTTAGTAAGTATTCCTATGCTTACTTAATACATTTTAACCTGCTAAGAGGCAGTATAGCTTTCACAACCTGGAAACTGATTTGAATATATAACCAGTTTGGACTCTGCAGCAGTAGCAATGCATGCTGAATCAGTTCTTAACAGATGGGGTTTTTTAGATAGACGGTAGACTAAGAAAGGAAGTGAAATGTTTTTCTTGAGATGAAAAAGAAATTTAACTCTTCAGAGCAGTAAAAATCTGGCATGAAGTTTCAGTATGCAGACATTATTTCAGAGAACTTTACCGTTAAGCTTAGAGTCACTAGAAATAAAGTAATACTGAGATAGTGTATCCAGAATCTACTTAAGACTTTGTAACTGCAATGATATTTTGAATTTAAAGAGTTAGGTTTAAAATTTCTTTGTATGTATTTAAAGAATGCAATAGATTTTTCAATAGAAACTTTTGGGGAAAAGAATAAATGACAAAAGGAGCTGTTTATTGCTAAGTTGTTAATCATATTAATTACGGAATATAAATTAGTCATTTGAAGTGCAGTATTTCTTGAACTGTAGATTTAGGGCTTTATTGTGCAGTATACTCATGAAAATGTCGTATGAAAATTTAAGTGGATTCTCAAAAATATGTGGAAGTCATGGGCGCTTAAAAAATGAATTATCAAACTTAATTCTATTTATGTAATAAGTAAACCAGTAAAATCCATATAGGACACCCAGTGATTCGTTAGAGTTTGGAAACCTTTAATATTAAATCTAAAATGAATTTTTAAAAATTTTCAGTTTTAATTTAACACTTTAAATAAAAATGTAAGGTAAAATAGTGAAATACCTATTACTGTGCCCTGAATGACAGAAAAAAAAGAACTAAGGAAACTTAAAAAAAAAAAAAAAAAAGAGGAGTTTCTACCTTAAACAATAGCCTTGTCTCAGTCACCTTTGTCAGTATATTTTTCTTTGTTTTCCTGTATATTTTTTCTTCCTATGTGAGGATACTCATAAATACTTGGTTTCTAGGTGCTGTTTCTCACATGCCTTGGCCAAAGAATTAAAAGCTGGGCAGAGTGAAGTTCAAGCATGCACTAAAGTGTAGGATTTCTTCAACAGAGCAGTGGCTGTAATTTTTCTGCTTTGTTTCCCAAAGGTCTAGAGACCCATTTTTACTACTAGGTGGTTTGTGGGAGTTTGGTGAAGAATCACCAATGTGAGATGCAATAAAATGAGTGATTTTTATTAGAGATGTATGTATTTTGTATAATGATGTTATAGTTGACTTAAAACATTGAAATATGGAATGGATAATGTTAGGAAGATAGGTAAATTAGTTTGTGAATAAAATTACAGTCTGTATTGTCAAGGATTTTGCGTTGTAGCTCTACTAATGAAAGAAACTGATCGTTAACAAACTTTGGCTTCTGGAGGAATTATTTAAAGTGGCAGTATAAGAGAATTTAACTACAGAGAAGAGATTTTGTTGATTGTTTTCAGTTGTAAAGCTGGCATACTCCCTAATCAAACTAATCTATTCTTTTGTAAACACACTTAACATATGTTTATATAAGCTTTATCCATATTTGAAGTAAAAGCTATGTAAATATGTGTTATCATTGTTTATAACATGGAAGTTTCTTTTATAAACAAATTTCTAGAAAAATATATTTATAATAGAGGATTAATATTTACTTAGTGAAAGAATTCATAATTTTTTTGGAGTGGCTTTCTTATGTGTTATAGTATAATTCTATGATTATAATTATGGAATTATAGACTTGAAGATTTTTTATGAATAACTGAATTCATGAAATTGTTTTCATGAAATTTTTTCATGGATTTGTAATTTTTTTTCATGAGTTACTGTGAGTTGTATCAGTGTGTCTAGTTGTAGAAAATGATATTTCCTCTGATTATTTTTTTACATTCTAAGTGGCATGCTGTTGGCTGAGCTGGAAACCTGACAAGATGCTTTGAGGGGATATGTGGTTTATTAAGTTTCTTTCATCTTGGCTTATGGATCATGGTATTTTTGTTAAAAGGGTAACTTCAAGGTTTTTTTTGTACTTGAATATGGCAGTAACTCTTCTTCCTTAGAGTTTTTTTTTTTTTTTTAATTTTGCAGATTGATAGTCATAATTTTCGTTTTAAAGATATTTAGAATTTTACAAAGAAGGTGTCTTCTGCATTTGAATTATATGTATTTTAAAAATACACAGTTGCATCTTAGAATCATGGAGGTCCTTAATACTAATAAAACCATGTTTATATTAAAATAATTTCATGCATTTTAATTTATGTTGATATGTAAGCCTTTTCATATTAATTTGAATTGTATTTTATTCTCATGATTGGGTATGGAAAATAAAATTCAGGATTCACATGTAAATGCTCGGAGTTTCAATATCTTAAGGAGTTTTGAGATTTTCCATAGAAAATTTAGTCATATAATGACACTAAGGCAGCAAATATTCTATAGTCTATTATCAATTTATATTAATTTTAAATAAATGTTTTGCGTATTGCTAGCTGCTTTTTGGCAAATACTGTGCTGTTAATTAAAAATATCTCAAGGTTCTTTACTCTTTTGCTATACTTTTCCCAGACAGTGTGGAAGAATTTATTGGGTCTAACAGACTTAACCCCCATTTTGTGTCACTGGTATAGCTGTATTATAAAATTCAGTCATCTGCGTTTTTTTTTTTTTTTCTATATACGGAACATATTGTTGTGCATTAGTTCCAGGTTTTCCATTTCTTGTCTTTAAACAATGTCAGCATATCTCTTTGGCATCACATATCACCCTATAGCGTTGCAGTTATTTATGTGTGTTTCCCTTCCTAGGCTGTGAACTCCATGAGGGCAGGAACTGATTTTATGTATCTTTATTTTTTGTATTTCTAGGCTTTGGATAAGTTAAGTGCATTTGTAGTGTGCATGACACTATCATAGGCAGTAATGATTATGGTCAGTTTCTGAAGTTATGTTCAACATTATGGTCCAGACCTAGGATCCTGAAATAAACTCATATATAAACTCAACTCATATAAACTTCATGTATTTCTTATTCTTCAAACTAGAAATATGTGTTCAATGTGTATAATATTACCTGGCTGTGTAGGCGTTACTGCATATGTAGATGTTATTTTGAACTGGCATCCGTTAATAAGTTAGAATCTGATAAAAACTTTTCAGTAAACTTTTATTTATAATCAAATATAATCACATAACAAGGTCATGTTGTTAACAAAGAAAATACATAATGCATTGAAGAGAAATTATAGAAAATACTGTAAGCATTTGTCATATTACCAAGAATAG